AAATGCACATACCTGTAGCATTCTCCATAATGAAATGTACATGTCTATAGCACATACAAGATTGTATAGCAAGATGAAAAAATAAAAAATTGCATATACACAAATACACACACTAAATGAATCTTTAATACAAAGACTAATTGTCCTGCAACTTAGATATAAATGCATACATAGGTAATATCTGTAAATTTCTAAACTATTGTGTGTATTACTTTAAAACAGTAGAGAGCACTGGGAACAGGGGTGCTGTTGACCTCCCAAACACTGGTGTGGAGACACACCCTCAAGACTCTCTGTGGTGAGTTCACCCATGGCTCTCCAAAGAAACCCAGATCCAAATCTCTTCTGACTAAAACATCTTGCATGAGAGCATGGACTTTGCAGAAGTCACTCACGGTATGGACCTTGAACTGGAGAGAGTACTGTGGGTTTCCCTTATTTTCTTAATTTAATCATATGAGTTCTTAAAATCAGGACAATTTTCCAGCTGGACTAATGGCATAGTAATAAGAAAGGCTGAGCTAGATGCTGGCCTCCTGAGAATTACCTACACTGTTGCTAAAGTGAATGTGTAGGAAAGTACCACAAGCAAAGGAAGGCAAGGCGGCCTCTAGAGATAGAAAGGGCTTAGAGAGACAGGTCTTCTCTAGAACCTTCAAGAGGAATGCAGCCATATTAACAAGTGCTTGCCCCATGGACACCTCTGACCTCTGAACTGATAGAAATCTGTGTTGTTTAAGCTACTACATTTGAGCTGATTCGTTATGGCAGCAATTGGGCACTAATACAGTCTCTCCGCCAAAGTCATTTTGAATACTGGAGAATGAAGAAAGTTCTGAATACTGCACCAAACAGACTCAAGTTCAAATTATTAAAAAAATCTTTTTTTCAATCTCCCCTAATATTGTATCAGTAGAGGACCAAATAGTCACAAAATGTAGCATGATATGCTCATTAAATTTTGTGTAAAATTGGAAACAGAAAAAGGATAAGCCCTTTGGTAAAGAAGTGATGAAAATTTTCAGATGTGATCATAGTACAATATCTGAACATTGTCTGGAGTGCCACTAAATATTAAAAATAAAAGGTAAAAGAGTTTATATTGGAATAAGTTACATTTGCCTCAAATCTAAGGCACTTAGGGAATTTTAAAAATTCATTCTTCAACATTTGAACTTCAGAAAGTAAAGTTTCTCAGAATGACAGTATCATGCCGAAAATATTAATGTGCCAGAATGAAATAGTGTCTGTAGGAGGTGATAAAGGTATGAGTTATACCAAATTGTATTTTTTCATGGGTTTTACCATACTTCTTATGGGTAGATACAGCTCATGGGCGTAAGAACACCTGCCCAAGCCCTTCGAAAATCAAAGTCATGTGCACAAACATAGCTCTAAGAAATTAAAGGACCATTTGTGACCAAAAGAAAATATGCAGTGTTCTAAATACAGCTCCTAAAGATATGGAGTATCTCTTATTATAGCAGAATATATTTTTCTTGTTCTTTTGCTCATCCTAGAAAGAACCATTCAACTATTTATATTACAGGTAGCAACTTCTATCCTGCTCAGTAATGGAATGTGTCAAATGAACTCAGCGTTGTGCTATACATTACCACCCTCGTAGACTCTAGCCATTAATTGGTTTGGGCCCATTGGTCATCACAGTGAATGTGAGGAATCTATTCTTCATGAAATAAAATGTTCACTAGCATATCCTATTGACATGGGCAAGATTTAAAGGATCCACATTATTATTATTTGTTCCTGCACGTGTGTATGGGTTTTGCTGAATTTCTTTATTAGGGGTAAGAAAAGAGTCATTTTATGAACATAAAGAAAATTCTCATAGATGCCATCTGTGACAAAATTGTTCAAATGATTGAAAAGACTATAGCATCAGGAAAATGTGAAATTCCATGCCCATCATTGGGCTTTACCCCTTCGGGGCCGTAGCACGAAGGAGGGAGATGCGCTTCCTTTGTGCGCCTCCACCTGCAGACAGCACGGAGATGGCCCTGCGAACGGAGCCATCGCTCGGCTGGCACCTTGGTAGCAGTGTGCTCAGTTCATCTCCACAACATAGAGTCATGCTCTCAAAAAGTAATTCACTTCTTTAAAAACTGGATAGAAAATAAATATGGTGCAGTAAAATTGTTGAGGAGAGGAATCTATCTGGACATTTCACAAAACATTTCATTATGCTGACAATTCCCAGAAGTGCTCTCGAGAGCGCTTTAAGCTGAGGATTACTGCGCGGAGCTGATGGACTTTTTTTTTGTAGCCCCTTTAAAAGGCAGTGAACCGTTTTTCTATTTTATTTAAATAATGCCCCTTAAAATGGATTTTTAGAGGTATAATAACTCCTTAAGAGTCAGTTATGCTAAACAGTTTCTCTTGATAGAAATGTTGTAAAACTCGTTAACTGCACAGTCTCAGATGCTGCTTGGTGAACACTAACTGACATGTGAATGACCAGAGTTTGTAAAATAAATTGCAATAGTTGTTGTATCACACAGCTAGCACTGCACAGGCTGGAGGCCACAGGGGACTCCGACCTGACAGAAAATTACTTCAAGATGAATGAAAAGTGCTTGTTTCTCTTTATTAGTTTTTAGAGAACAATGAAAATGTTGAATTGTTTACAGAGGGCTGATTAAATGTGGTCAGCAGGGCCATGTTCCTGCTGCTAAGTGCTGGCCTCCCCCTCCAGCCAGCCCCCAGCCTCCACGTTCACGCACCATGCCATGCTCAGCCCCAGTCCTGGACCCACCATTTGCCCCCTGCCACATGCATCTTCTTATAGGCTATTATGGCTGCACATCTGTGTGTGAAATGTGCTCACTCTGACATTCCATTGCTGCTCAGCACTGCAGAGGCCTTTGTTGAGTAAAACACTGTTGTCAAGCCTAACAAGCAGGTCATGCAATTTGCTGGACGCTGTGGCAAAGAATGGCCTCGGATGAATTACTGCAGCTCAAACAATGCTCATTCCCATATCGGAATACATATGTATTTCTCTGTTGCATTGCACTACAGAAAGTCATGAAATTTTGCTTTTTCGGGCTTCAATTTTTCAAACAACAAAGTTGAAACTAGGTATGGTCAGACTACCACAGAATATCTTTTTGTTGTATTTACTTAGGATAACTAATGTCTTACGACTAACGGAAAAATGCATGAAGTGCTTTAATTGGTCATTTGGGGCTTATATTCCATTTGTATTTAGCAGAAAAGTACAGTAAGAGGAAAAGTATTAACCACTATCATATCTGTCTGCTTGCTGTACCTAAAGAGACTGTCAGACCAGGGCATTTAGGAGGATGTTGTGGTGAAGGATTCTCACTATGTACTTCCACAAAGTGAACAGCCCTTGAGGGAAAGAATTATGAGAATTCATTAGCAGGCATAAGCCACACACGGAGAAAGTCTTTTTACCTGACCAGCTAAGTGAATCAGATTCAGAGATGTTATGGTAAGTAAGGAGAAGGAACTATTTCGGCTTCACGGTCTTCGGGGGCTTATCGCCGTCTTAGAACCTAGTGCCTCCCCCTTTCTCAAACATACACACAGGAAGTGGCAACAGTGGGCAGTTCACACACTGTCTGGGACATTGTGATGGAATCCACAGTGCATGCTCTTGGTGTGCAAGCGGAATTCTCTTCCCTTTCTGTGCAGAACGTGTATCCTGAGCCTATTATGTGTATAAACAATGGCATATGTAATTACCTTTCTAGGGTGGCAATTATTCCACAGAATCAACAACCAGAGTTAAAGCATGTTCCCCCAAAAGACATTTGGGGATCAATTCTGGGTCAATTACATCAGGCTTTGATTTATCACATGGTGTCAGACTGTGTTTAAAAAAAGAAAGTTTAAAAAAATGCTTTATGAGGTAAAGGCTAAAGGTTTAACTCAAACTGGTTCGTTTCCAACTTTGCTTTCTCCCAATTGCTCTGTACTTCCCCCATCCTCAAAACAACAGTGATTTCCTGGGTTTTTCTCTGTTACAGAGTGTGTTGTTCAGAAATATTAAATGCAATGAGTCTGGACTTCATCCAGATTTGATATGACTCTCTACACGCTCTTCATACACATACACACAAGGCTTTAGCACTTTTTTTTCTGAGATACAGCTAAAGATCGGAGGGTGGAGGGGTAAGAGGTCAAGCTTCAGAGTACAGCTCTGGATATGGATCGCTATGACCTAAGCATGTTACATTCTTCTGCAGTGGATGATGTCCGCTGCCCATGGATGGTATAAGAACTGAGAAGATTCACGTAAGACACTTGTTCCCCACGAGTTCCTAATGAATGATGTGATTACTGTTCTACTATTAGACCAGTCAAAGAAGGAGAAAGGGAGCTTCCCCTCCAAAGAGTGGTGAGGGCCAGGGACAGAAGAGAGTGGACATTAGTACAAATAGCCAGGCTGAACTGTGACCCCAAAATACTCTTGGTGATGTCCAGGGGACTAGACTGTACAAAAAAATATTTCCTTTTTTTGGCTTTTTCTCAGGGTATTGACCATAAAGTACAAACCAATAAAGGTGCTATTATGCGAAGGGGCCCTCTCCTTGTCTTCAATGCATTCTTAAAAGAGCCATAGTGGAAAAGGCCACTTTACATTCCATGATCAAACATGTTTACTGAATACAGACTTAGTTTTCACAGAGCTCTGTGCTAAGTAGAAATTTGTAATGCAAAGATGAACTCTCTAAAGGTCTCCCTCCCGCAGCAGGTAACAAGCATGCAGTTTGGCATAACATGAGGACTTAATAACTAAGACTTTCTCATGACCAGGACTTTAGCAGTGAGCAATCCATCCTATTAAGGATCAGTCCTAGCACTGAAGTTACTAGGTAACTTAGAGCTGTTCTTACTGAGGAATAAAGTAAAAATGTCTTTAAATTAAAAGAAAAGAAAGGATATGAGAATTCCCGTCAAGTTACTTCGTAGGCAATGAAGGGCCACACTCCAAGACCACAAGAAACTCATCATATAGGGAAGCACTGTTTATTTAACAAGGCACAAGCAACACTATTCAGTCCTCAAACAGCACACAGTGGTATTGACAGTGGTATTGGCAGCTTAATTAAGAAGTCTGTTGATGATGTTTTAAAAAGAGTTGGCACATTTTCAATCACATGGACACTACTCACGACAAAGATGCTGTTGTTGGCTCATCCTTATTGAAATAGGTCACAGACACGACACGGCCGGAGATGTCCAGTGTCTCTGGTGACATCAGTGTCTTAACACTGGAAAAGTAATGACTCATTCTCAACTCAGATACAAACCTTTAGGAAAACTGTATAGTGATTCAAGCTATGGGAGTCAACAGATAAATACTTTTAAAAATTGCTCAGCCAGATTTTCAAGATTCTTTGCCAGAGGTTTTGATGCTCTCTGTCCAGTCTTGGACCTGTGAGCCGAAACCCCCCAGTTTTATCTAAATCTCCCTCTTCTCCTCACTGGGATCTCACTCAGAATAGTGATCTTGAGGACACAGAAGGTAGATGCCTGTAGAGATAACAGGTGTAACTCACCACCCAACACCCTGAGAATTGTATAAACAATATGTGCTTTCCAGCAGACAACTTACACTTAGAAGAAAAAGTGGAATTGAATTCAAATTAACTCAAAGCATTGTCTCTAGAGTTTACCAAGTATTTAAAGAAAAAATAAAATAGACTTTATTTCAGCACTATAAAATAATACAATAAAAGAATAAAGGATTAAAATGTCTTGAATTTCCCAGATTGTTCTGCTGTTGTTGTGCTTTGGTCTATTTTGTTTCTCATTAATGAAGCTTAAAATATTTACAGAATATGCTTTCCCATTCATTTGTTTCTTGGATTAGAGAAAATTTTAATTACAAGCAGAAGAAAGAAATATGCATCCTAAAACTAACTGTAGCTTCCCTAAAGGTTGGTCCCATACCTTATTTGTCCTGCCATTCTCTCTCCCTTCTTTTTTACAGTGAGTCATACATAGTAAGCACTCAGTTAACTCGAAAGGTAATGTACATCTCAGTCCACATCCATTTGGAGGGGCTGTATTGATTAAGGAGCCGTTGAGGCAGGTTCAACTACTGTTGAGGCAAGTGAGGCACACTGTTCGGGAGACTTCCTTTACAAAGCCTTGTTAATGAATGGCTGACCACTGGCATTCTCAATGTCTTGATTGGCTTCCATTTTTGCCGAAGGTAACACGATGAGCCTCCAGTGGTTCTATTTCCAACAAGAATGGTGTGAAAGGCAGTTTGAAGCCTGTGTTCTGTGACTGTCTGACCCAGTCCAGGAGGCAGTACGCCTGTGAACAAAATAGGAACCAATTATTTATCCATTTCTTGCTGAGAAGAACATTCAGAAGTACCAAAGTTGGCCTTTTGCTGATCATTAAAATGAATGTAGCTCAACATTTCAAAACATAATGAGAATCATCCATGGTGGTAATACTGTTTAAATCTTTCCTTTCTTACTTTAAAAAATAATTTTGAATTCGATCCCAACCACAGGAGCAGATCCAAGCTTAATAAAATCAGAAATCCCACACCCTAAACATCCCCTAACTGATAAGCGTTCCACATTGTATATTCCACCTCGAGGTCTTATGCCCTAATCTTTCATGATGAGCAAAGGCCCCGCTGGCAGCCCGCCATATTACCATGTAGATGACTGAGACTCACACCTGCCCCCAGTGGAGAAGGCAGTGGAAAAGCCACCAGCAGGCAGGAGCACACGCTCAATCAGGTTCTAACCGGTCAGGGCAGGAGCACACACTCAACCAGGTTCTAACCTGTCAGGGCAGGAGCACACACTCAACCAGGTTCTAACCCGTCAGGGCAGGAGCACACACTCAACCAGGTTCTAACCCGTCAGGCAACAAGAGGTCAGGTCTGGTCTGAACACTTGAAGCATGTCAATTGTCAGCTGCAGCAGGAAAGGTCTCATAAAAGCAGCGCGGCGGAAGTCAGCAGGATCCCAAGGAGGGTTTTCAGTCATGCCTGTACACACACACACACACACACACACACACACACACAGACACACACACAGACACACATACATACACACACAGACAC